GCAACACATGCCCTATTGAATATTTTATGTTTTCAGATTCATGCACTACATTTAACAATAATATCATAGTTTTATTATGTTATGCATCTATTTATTGGACGTAAACATTCAACACAGTAAGCTTCTACCCAAAATCCTCCCCTCCCTGCTTTTTAAGCCACTTGGGTTATCTAACTAAAGAAAAATAGTGTTCTTCTTAAGAATAGGCATAGAGAGCTTTTTGCAGGGAAACTTGCAAGAACAAACGAAAGTTTAACTCCGAAAGAAGTACTTCATTACACATCCCACCAATAGTGGCAATAGATCATTGCATTGGAACAAGAAAAATGAAATTCAATGTTTCAATACATATTATTGTGGTGGTTTTAAATAGTATACTAAATGTAAAGTTGCTACTCGCCTTAGGAAAAAATGGTATTATTTTGATTTATGAGTTGCTACCCCTCATGCCTATCTAATGGCAAATTAATTAGATTAATGCAAAGAGTACATTCACTTAGTTATCACCATATAGCCACTTCTCAGAGTTGCTGGTGTACTTAACCAACTCCTCTGGTTTAAACCATAGGTTGATTTCATCCTTTGCGGTCTCGGGGCCATCGCTGCCATGGATGATGTTCCTGTATAGCAGATTGTGTTAAAACTCATATTTATGCAATCATACAAGCAGAATGACTCGTTTGAGATTGATGCGTAGTTATATCTTGTATATTACTACCTTCCGACTACAACAGCTAAATCGCCTCTGATGGTTCCAGGTTCAGATTTCTGTGGATCAGTGGCTCCAATAAGCTTCCTTCCATATCTGATTACACCTTCACCTTCCCAAACCTGAAGAAAAGTGTATGGAGTTACTCATACTGAAGTAGTTTGGACAAAGAGATAAAATGGCACTTGACTAGTAAAATCCTCTTACTTACCATTGCTAAGACAGGGCCAGAGCTAAGGAAATCGCACAAACCGTTAAAGAATGGTCTCTCACTCAAGTCATGATAGTGCTTCTTTGCAAATTCCTTTGAAGGAATCACAACTTTGATTGCAACCAGCTTGAAGCCCTTGCGCTCAAAGCGTGATACGATTTCTGAAATCTGAAATGAAACAAAAATTTATCAGCCAACCGTAAAAGAGAATACATTTCCCATCAAGCATCCAGATAAAATATTAAAATGCAAAGTAACTTCAGCTGCCTCTTCAACTAAGGGATTGGTGGGTGGGAGCACATTATTGGAAGATCATATAAATAAAAGAAGTAGCAACAGAAACCATTATCGTACCAGGCCCCTCTGTACTCCATCTGGCTTGATGGCGATAAAGGTGCGCTCCATCTTGAAAAATACAAACATATCATATATGTTATTAAAAAGAATGAAAATGATAATAAAATGGATAATATAACATCTCAATCTAGAGGAAGGCTGAGAATACGATACCTCAGCAGCATGTGCTTCTTGCTCCTGGAGCATGTAAGCTAAACAATAAAGAGAGGGAAAAGATGAAATTAGAATACAAATAACTATTTCCTTGAACAAGGAAACAAAGGCAGGACAAGTTATAACTTTTGTCCGAGAGAAATGGAATGAAATGCTCAATTATGAGCACAAGTACAGCAAACCTTTTCACCCCATACCATGCAAGAGCATAGACTATTTGTTATAGAAGAAGTTCCGGATGCCATAATGCTAATGTTAAGCAAGAGACAAGGCTCCTCTTCCTCTGATGGGTATAGGAAAAGGGGAAATGGGGGACGGGATTTCAAGGTGGAGAATCAAATCCTCACCAACAAGGTGAAAGTTCAGTAACCAACTGAACTATACGAGCCACAGAAAACTATTTCTTTAAGTAGAGGTGGAGGTAGTTAACCTTTCATACATTCATCGAGTTTTGCTTTCATCCAAAAGAAAAATATAAGCTGGCAGTAGTAGCAAGTATTTCTGGCGCCTCATATAGGAGGACATGCGGTTTTAATGCAACTCTTGTTTTGAGCATCCTAGTAAAAGGCTTAAATGTAGACACCTAAATGCCAGTAACTATATGAAAAGGTACAAAGCAGAAGCTTCCTCAAAGAATCAAATTTCGCCACAAGAGGCTTTCAGAGAGGAGCATGCAACAAGTCCATGAGAAATAAACTTGAACAAACCTGCTGCAGGAAGGGCAAGGACACCAGAAATCCAAGCTCTAGATGCATTTCCAGATTCACTCCTGCCATATGAGGCTAGAGAAGGCACCACTCCTCTCAAAGAAACTGTGGCAGCTGCAGCTGCTGCTCGTCCTCCTGCAACAAAGAGAACTCAGAAATCAGCATTTTCAATATAACCAAACATAGATGATCTTTAAACATATATGACACATAAGGCATTCCCAACAAGAAACCAAGCATATAAGAAAACGGATTATTTTCAATGAGCAAAGCTAGAACAAGTACCTCACATTAGTCATACATATCGTGTGAAGAAAATCCATGATTTGGAGGAACACCACATATAATATGTACATACTTTAACTATGCAACTTAATTCTTATATACATAAATCTAGTCCAAGTTTGAGGTGCAAATGCTGGAACCGCAGTACATTGAGGTCAAAAGGTAATCTTTCTTAAACCACAAAGATAAAGGTCAAAATGTGTAGTAACCACAATTCATTTGGAACACATGTACTAATTCATAGACTCCTTAATTCCAAAGCAGCAGTAACAGAAGCAAAAATTCAAATCCACATACCAAAAAGTCAAACACCGGGACCAAAAAATGAAAATCAAAACATTACTATGAGTCGAACATAAATAAATTACTAGGCAGACTTCAAAACAATCACTTCCTCTACGGCAAAACTAACCGCACATTATTATTCTAAAGTCAAATACTTTATTCTTCCATTACCAGATATTTAACATTTTTAAAATATTACGGAACATTTACCAAAAAAAATCAGATTTATGGTACCTTTTTTTAGCTAATTTCTGAAAATATACAAGTTTTACACCAAAAATCATATGCTTTTAGGACTTTCTAAAAGAATATTGGAATATCAAGCTTAAAGCTCAAAACTTCACCCTTTTTTTTTAATTATAACCAGCTCAAAACTTCATAAAATAAATACAATAGCAATTACAAATCATTATTCTTTCCAAAATGGAGTCTCAAGCTAAAAGCTCAAAACTTCACAACATTTTTTTTATAATTAACCAGCTAAACCTTCATCAATTAAAAACTATAACAATAACAAATTTCAGCTTATAATCTACATCAGTAATGAAAAATTTACCAGAAAAAGCATGAGAACTCTGCTCGTGAACAAATGACATTGTTATAAAGAGATTTGACTATACATAAGTGTTAGTAACAAAGATCATATGCTAAAAAAGCTCAAACATTCATTAATTTGTTTTGATAACCTGAGCTCAAATATTCATCAATTAAAAACTATAGCAATTACAAATCTCAGCTATATAATTCACATCAGGAAGAAATAAAATGATTTGTTTGTAGTATAACTATAGTGTTCGAGTCAGTTTGTGATAAAAATGAAAATTATACCTGAAAAAGCACGAGAAGTCTGCTTAGATGAAGCAGAAAGGAGTGACTTAGCTGCTCGTGAAGCAGATCTGCAAATCTGAGAATTCATCTCTAAGCTTTTTAGAGAGAGAAAGTAAAAAAATGTGTGAAGTGATAGAGAGAGAAAGAGAGTGAGAAATTGAGTGAAACTAACATAGATTATATATGTGAGGTTCCCAATGAAGTCGCGCGTGATCACACCCACATTTAGGACGCGTGAGAGAGAAAGATTTAAGGATTCGGGCTGGGCCAAACCCTAAAGCCCAAGTTTTATTGGGCTGAATAGTCGATTCATAACACAAAACGGGTTAAACCGAATCTGATTCGTTAACTTTCCCAATTGTTACGTCGTGGTTTACATGTTTATTTACGGAGAATATTAAAAACTCAGTTGATTGACTATTTCAACTTCTATTTTATTAGTAAGGATTCGATTTCACACATTGTAACTTTTTTCTTATTGGGCTAGAAAATGCTAGTATTCACTAAATACAAATCCCGAATTTTAGTTAGAAAAATCGAAATTGATTTCATAGAGTTACACTCTTTAACAAATGATTATATCAATGAGTGGTAACATTAATCTTAACACCTTTTTTATAGTATAATTAGATTGTCATTACTTGAAGGGGTCTAATGGTTCTGAAAGGAGCAATCATTTTTGAATGATTGTTGATTTAAAAGCTATAATGACATATTTGGTGATTTCTTTAACATCATTATATTTTGTCTCTGAAAAAAAAATTATCTTGTCACTTTGCCTACTTCTTGTTTTTATCATCCATGTTTAATACTAATCACAAGCAACCCCATTATATTATAGTATAAAAACAAAAGAAATTATTGTGTTCTAGCTTTATGAACACACACCCTACTAGCTAATGAGAAACTTATCATCAACAATATCAACCAAAAAAAACATTTATTTTACATGACTGGAGGTACTATTCTATATTCTTTTATTCTCTTTTTTTTTTTTTTTTTGTGTGTGGTTGCTTTTAGTCATCTAAGTATCTGAAATACACTGACACTATTAATTCAAATTCAGATTGAATAGGATCATTAAGGGGATAAAACATTCACTTGCCAAGAGATTCTCCATTATCAAAGGTCATAAATTAAAGGCGGAGGAATCTCAGTCATCCCATTGAAACACTGGTAGATTTTCATAAGCTATTTTTCGGGTTGCGCTTAGACATCTAGTATTCGAAACGATACTGACACAATTAATTCAAATTCTGGTCGGATAGGCTCATTAAGGGGGATCACACATGCTATTGTCAAAAGAGATTCTCCATTATCAAAGCTTGAACCAAATTAAAGGTGGAGGAATCTCTGTCATCCCGCCGCACTTCTTGATGATGCTGGAAGTACTATCTAGCTGATTCACTTTGACACTTCACTAGCAATCTGAACTACATAATGATTTGTTGCCAAAGATGTCATGTAGTGGAAATACTTAAACTGTGAACACATTTTATTTATATAGTAGTAGTAACTTGACAATGGCAGTTAAATAAGCTATGTACAGAATAATGGATAAATGCTAAAAGTTGTTCAATCAAACTTCCAAGTGAACAATAATGCCGTCTTTGCTTCAGTTTATGGCCTATTTACAGGTTGTTGCTACTGAATACTGACAGAAGAACATGTCAAGTCTTGGTTAGCTCATCGGGCGTGGTGCAGTTAGATTGCAGATCAGAATGATTCTGTAATGACGCCAACCAGGAATCAACCTGCAAAACAAAGAAAACTTCTATAGCATGTAACTGGATAATGAAAGGAATGTAAGGAATCTATAGAGAAGATTTTAGTTATGGGAAGACAACATTCTCGAGAGCAAAGCACTAACACGAATAAACAAACAGGCTTATTATAACATGCTACTTTGACATCTATGTTACTACTTTCCTGATAAATACATGTGTTACTGTTAGACGTACTCGTAACATCTGCTTATAATGATGGACTTCTAACTATCTAATCGTTCATGAGGTACTAATTCGAAAAGACAGGATTCCGATAAAGCATTCATGTCCAGAGAACAAGGCAACACTTTTAGTGTACTACTAACAGACAGTTTGTACTCCATCAAATCATGCATAGAAATAATGGAAAAGATCATATACACAGAGAGGTGCATATGAATTCGCGTTTACTCGAAGGTCCATTTATGAACTTCAAACATCAACACATGGAAGAAGATACCATGACTAGGTACTTGCAGTAGATGATCCAGATACAACCATTACCTGTATTTTGGAAGCACTAGAGCATTCATATCTCAGCCCATGACGAGTTGAAATAAAAAAGCAATATCGAATATCACCGTTGTCTCGTGTCAGACAAGGCATGGCTCCAACTTCAACAACATCAGATAGGAGAGTTGAGTCTTGAGGACTCAGATCTGCATCATGTTTAGTAGTTATACTCAAATGTATTCATGACATAGCCTCTTTGTTGTGTTAACAGATATCAGAAAATTCTTCATTGTGTTAGTTGATATCAGATTGTCCAAGTAAATAAAAGATATTATGGGTGTCTATTAAATCAAGAGAAGATAGAGATGCACTGGCTCATGAGGAATTAAAAGATACGCAATTAGAATCCCAGCATAACCTAATAGAGATATACCAAACAGAGATGACAATCTCTACATCAGATGCATGGAGCTTGTGATTAATTATGTATATGCAACTAAACGGTCAGCCAATCCCGGTATAACTCAACAGTGAGCTATACCAAATAGAGATGACAATTTCTACCTTTACCATCTGTGCTTTTCCTATTCCACCTACTGACCTACATACATGAACAGGGGAGTTGGAGGATGAGTTATTCGAATTTCATCAAACCATATAGACTGTGGGGCAGGGGGAGGGTATCATATAAGTTATTTAGACATACCAACACACCATCTCTACCTAAAACGAATAACTATTTCACTCCATAATTTTGGATAGCTGCAACATTTCAACTCATCTTGCAGCCTCCCTCCTTGTGTCTTCACATCTTCCACCACTATCTTCGACATTCTTGTGTCTGTTTCCATTCACCCTCTTCCTGTTTGTTCGCCCATTTTGCTCATATTTATTCTTAATTGATTTTGAAACTTTGATGTTGACAAAAACTTCACCCACCTGATCACGAGGGGTGTGTGAGGTTGAGGGGCAGTGTCCCTTTGGGAGGTTGAGGGTTTGAATTTCCATCTCTAATAACTAAAATCACATAGAAGTCAATCAAAATTTAAGAGACACTATATGAGCAAATTTGACGTCCATCATACTACAATGAATACCATTAATCAGCATAAGCTTACAAGACATCATTTAAGATTTCTAGACTTTCCTGATAAATAGTTGGAAGATTCAGCCTCCTATGAGGAACTCAGAATTGGCCAATAAAAGGAAGAGGCAAAACACAGAGAGTAATGGTACACCATTAAAAGTTTGGAATAATGCACTTGCACCAAAATAGAGCAATACCAAAAAAAATACGCGACACTTGAAATTGAAAGTTTCAGTATAATTACCTATGGATGATGAATACAAGAAAATACCCGATCCCTGAAGGACAAGAAATTTAGGAAGCCAGTCATCAACTTCAGTGTCATCATCGATTGGAAGAGGTTCTCCTGGTAAAGCCTCCCATCTCTGTCGATCAAAAGCAAGAATAAGATTTTCATAATTTAAGTCTGATAAATCCTAGAGATAACAAGAAAAGGACAGATGTTGGTATTTCAGTACCGTTCTCAGATACAAATAACCCGACATGCGAGCAGACTGCAGTATTTCGTTAATATGTTCTAATCTGTGAAGAGAAAGATATATACAGATATATCAGAACTCAAATAAGAGTACTGCTTTAGACAAATCCATGATTTCTCAATAAAAGAAACTGGAGGTTGTTCCAAAGGATGCCATCATATTGATAACTCATATGGGATACACTGGGTAAGTTGTTGTTAGGTCTTTTCTCATCAAGTAGAAAGCCAGTCATACCATGTTACAGTTACATCTCAACTTTCTACTACCTAGAAATACGATATTATTCACTTTCCCAATGTGTTATTTCTTGTTTTAAAAGCATGGACCGGAAGTGTCTTAATTCATTGAAGAGAACTCTCACGGCAATATCTTGAAGGGTGTTCACATTTCCTTACTCCAAAATTTTCCTTTTATTTATTTCTTTTTATAATGGCAGTGTCCAGGCCAACTTGCGTGCACCTCGACTAGTCCATCAAGTATCAGCTGCCTCCAACCAGCCAGGCACTAGGTAGCTCTGCCATCAAGGCTTAGGTAGGTGGGAAGAATTCATCTAATGTAGCCTCTGCTAGGATTTTTGACCCTTGGTTCCCAAGTTGGCAGATGACAAGAACTTCCTGCTTTCTGTTTTCGTCTCTTATTTATCCAATCAACGGTCCCCGATGGTTCTATGTACCCACATGTGAAGAGGCACTCAGGATGTGTCCTCTTACCAAAGGATTTACATAACCAAAGACTGAAGCAAGTTCATATGTAGAGAGTTTGGGCATATAAGGCAGTTTTATTATGCGTGCATGTCATAGTCCACCTTAGCACATTCTGCACATTATATATATGTGATAGAAAGACTCCATGTTTAAAGGCCAAGTCACCTAAAGAAAAAAAGAACCTGGGCGAAGCTTTTATGCTTTTGCTGTAACCTATGAATTCACATTGTAATTAGTGTAGATAGATATGCATCTATGGATGTGTTCATACTTCACATTACGCTGATAATCTACCTCCAAAGAGATGAAAAAAGATCTTCAGTTTCATTAAGCAAGAGGTGTTACAGTAATTTACTCCATGTTTAAGACATCCCTACATTACAAAAGCATCGTAACGAGAATTATATGACCGCATTAAGCTGCAAAATTTCTTGGAACCTTTTTCCATGCTAAATCGAAGTACAGTCATATCAAAGAGGCAACAACACCAAACACAAATGTGTTTCAAAAAAACTAAAATAGAGGAGCATAAGACATAATGAGAGAGCACAATTAAAGCATCAAAACATACTGAGCTTTTAAATGAGCTTCTCTTTCTTCCAAAGAAGCAATTTCTGATCGAAGAGATTCTACTTCTACAGCAGTTAAAACTACCTGCAAAGTCACAACAAACTCAGTGTTCCTTCAATTCACAAAGATAACGAATGAACTTGAGAACAATTAACTAGGAAATACCAAGTTAGATGGCTAGATCATAAGCAAGAAAAAGCTAGTACCTTTTTCTGGTCATCTGTACCAGATACCCAAGGTAGCTTCCTGGGGCTAAACATATTCAACATTGATACAGAACTTCTCAATTTTCTTCAAGTCAATCTATAAATAGATCTATTCTAACAGGAAAGAAGCGAAGAGATAAAGGTGAGATTAATTTTGTTAAGATGACACTTTTTTCACTTTAAGAATGTTTAAGTTAGATGTCAAAGAAAAAAATGCATCCAAATCTACGGACAATTCTGGTCTCTGAATAGAGTTCTCACCAACTATTGAAGCTTGAAAATAATCTCTCAGAAAAATTCTAGTGCTCGAGGTACACCACCATGAAGTTAATATTTTCCAGCAAACCCACAAATCGGTGACTGGATAAAGTACAACAAGAATTATCAGCAAATCAGCATTTCCAAGTAATAAACTGCAATCTGCAAATGGAAGACAACATATACATGTCTAGAAGTTTTACAAGTGCTTTCATTGGTGTGTTACAATGAGAGTATACTTTCAAAGAGACTCAGCAAATATTTTAGAATACAACACAGGATTTCCTTTTCTTGTGGACATAAAGTTTTGCTTCCTGATTCTGACAATTGATTCAGAGCTATTTACCATTGATATAGAAGTGCCTTTCAAACAATGTAGCAGCCCCAAGGCTTAGATCAAATTGCAATGGATTAGGGAATTGTGAACTAAACATGGTATTTAAGTAGAGAGGGGTAGAAGGGGGGCCCTGTTATCCCCGAGTATTGAAAGTTGCAGTTGGTTCAAGATGTTGGCCCAAATGGACTTTTCAGTCATAAAAAAAAAAAAAAGTAACATGCCCTGTCATGGCCGAAATCCATAGTAGCTGTCAGGAATCAGTAAATAGTGGACATGCCTCAGATTTGGAGTGCAGAACAGTATCTTGTAAGCATTGGCTTGCTTGGAAGAATTATAATGGGCCCGAAAGTATTTTCTGTCTAGCACTACGCTAATAGTTAAATAGCAGGAGAACAGCTCAATTATTATGGATCAATTTTTTAAACTGTACCTTGACGAGTTAAAGAAGTTTATAAATAGGGATCACATCCACTTGCAATAGGATTTAATGTGACGATTAAGAGGAAAAAGTTTCCACTATGCAACTCCGCATATAAAAGCAAAAGCAAGACCAATAGGTGGATCTACCTACCAACTTCCCATTGAAATCAGGAACCACACACGGAAAAACATTTGCCAAAGAAGTTAACTAACTGCTTTCACACTCCATATTGCTTTAGACTATGTCATTTTATCCATGTCAACTATATGTTCTACCCCTCCCACTACGAATGACCCGACGGCACGCTACATCCAGAGTTCTATTCCATTTTCAATAAGAAGACCACCTTTGAGCTTAATTTCAACCTCTGTCCTTCATAACTAAAGTTTCTAGAGTACAATCATTGAACCATAAAACTTCTCCAAAGTAACCTAAAAGCTATTACTAGTACCCAACTATGAATAAAACATGACCGAGCATATTCCCCAACACAATCAATCAACTAACTACCTCTCAATCCCAAATCAGTTGGAGTCGGCTGTACAACTCATCAGATGATTCATTATAATAAAAACATTTTCTTTTGCTTGTAATGTCATTCTACCCATCCCAGTAAGAATGACACAATGCTACATCAAGAGTTCTATTCCAATTCAATAAGAAGGTAACCGTTGAGCGCTTTACCTCAACCTCTGTCTTTCATAACTATAATTTCTAGGATACAATCAGTGACATCTCTTTCGAGCCAACAATCTATCGCTACCCCACGAAGATAGGAATAAGCTCTGCATACATCCTACCCTCCCCACACCCCCACTAATGGGATTACACTGGGTATGTTGTCGTTATAATCAGTGCAACACAAAATAACTTGAACTGTAACCTTAAGCTAGTATCACTACTCAACTACAAATTAAACATGGTCAATCATAATCCCCAACACAATGAATCAATTAACTACTTCTCAATCCCAAATTAGTTGGATTCAGCTCTACAAATCATCATACTTAAACTATTTCAGCTAAAAGAAACTAAAATTGGTTCAAAAAATATAAGAGAGCTAATAATTTCTGGGATTAGGGTAATTATTAGTAAAGTTCAAGTCTTTATCTAAATTAACTACTTCTCGATCCCAAATTAGCTGAGATCAGTTCTCCAAATCATCATAATTAAAGCATTTCAGCTAAAAGAAACAAAAATTGGTTCTAAAAATGTAACAGAGCTAATAATTTCTGCGATTAGGGTAATCAGTACTAAAGTTCAAGTCTTTACCTAAATTAACCGAAATTACTCCATGAAACAAAAGCAGAAACAGCTCTTCAACATTCTCAAGTTGCACCTAACTGGAAAAATCATAATTAATGGAAGAAATTGCAACGAACCTGTATAATTAATTAGGCAAAAACGAAGGTATGGAGAGACGAAGACGAAGAGAATACTTGCTATGATGGATGTTATGGTTGTTAAGTCATCATGTTTGGTCCCCGTTATCTATCATTTGTGACGTTGACGTTCTATAAGAATAATATTGAGATTAGTTATGATTAAATCATAATTTTTTATTTTAGAATGTTTAGTTTTGATGTATAAAGAATCATTTATCTTTATTTATGTTAATTTATATACTATTATAATGTGTTGGATCAATGCCCTAAATTAACGAGCTCGTGTTTAAGATGCTTAACAAAATATATGATTCTTCTTTTAAGTATGTGTATATTTGAAAATATTTGTGTTTGTTAAAGTTTTAGTTATTCAATAATTAAGATTAAATGGGGATATATAGCTTGGAAACACTGAACAGAAGTTTATTTACTTGAAAGGCTTAATCAAACCTTACTAGAAATTAAGCGTGCGTATATTTGCAATTAATAAAAGCACGTGAACCAACCCTTCCAAGTGAATATCCGCCTCGAGTCACAGACTAAAATAGTGGTGTATTATCTTATTTTGCGTTGTGAAATCATTAAGGTGACGGGCATTTGCAAAAGAACGAACGAAACGATTTGCAGATTGAATTTTATATTCCTATATTTATTTTATTAAAGGCATCCTCGCAAAAAATTAGTACTATTTTGTTTTGAAAAAAAATTCTCCTTTTTTTTTAAGAAATAAATAAATTATTTGCGGTTATACTGTTCAGAGTATTCTTAAATTTTTGCATTAACATGTGTCAAATACAATGATTTAAAAAAAATAGAGCACCGTTCATTGTATTTAAGCAAAAATAATGAAGTATTAGAACAAACCCAGACGCCTTAACTAAACTTTTTAATTGTTGTTGGTTAACCTAAATTATTCCGGGAGAAAACAATACCAAAGTTTGATGGAATAAAAGGATATTCAAACTTAAGCTTCATATAAAATCTTACTGCGTTTGATTTGATTATAGGACAAATTTATACCATCAATCACACAAACTAGGGTAAACTTCATTTTGTGTTTCTTCAACTATGATTTCAAATTTGTCACTGACAGTGGAAACAAACACATGAAGAATCTATTTTACCATTATATTCATATAATCTCAATAAACTTAAAAATTATTTGGAAAATGAATAGTTATTATTGTTCAGGGTAAAATATGAAAAAGGAAATGTTTTTCAAAAAAGCATAGTAAGAAAATACGCACAAATGAAGAACCAAGAATTAAAAAAAAAAAAAAACTAATTTTGCAGTCATTTATAAAATTATTTTTATTTGTCTTTTTTCCTCAAAATAATGTTTGGTTGAGAAAGAACATGGTGTAAGTTTTACGATTCACGAAAACCCAGACCACCATTATTATAGCTTTTTCTGATTTTGTTGTTCGCAGTTCGAAAGCCTTGCCATGAGAAGCTTAAAATAGCAAATAGCAAATAGCAAAACCAATGACGATACATTTCCAGTAGTTTATTTTAAAGAGAGAAAAAAGCAAAAATACTTTCGTAAGGCAAAAGACGCATGCAAATTAGAAAAAAACTGTAGGGAAGAATGGGAACATGATTAAGATAACGAAAAAAAAAGATGGACGTCCATACCAGAAATCAGTGAATGGCATGGTGAGATACGCGTCCAAATCCTTGCCCAACCTAAAGAAGCACTTGAGAGAATAGCATAGCATATACCAGCATTCCAAATATAATACGAAAACAAAAAAAACCCCACAACCCATTAGTAGGAGAGTAATGGATTGCGGTCTCTTTCTGGGAACAGAAAAACAAGAACGAAAGAGGCAAGGGCATAAAGAAAACTCAAAAGTTTTATTGATTAGCTAAAGCGCAGCAAGCAGACAAAACAGAAGAAGATGGGAATATAAGGGGGGGCATTTCAAAAACTCGGAAAAATAAATTGTCTCAATGTGTACTTTCAGGAGAATGCTGTATCCGACTTAAATTTACTGACTCAATTGACTCTGGCATTGCTGCCTCAAATACCTCAGTAGACACATCAGTGTGTGGAAGAGTACCACATTTAGCATCAACAAACTTCTCTTCTTTGACGTCATCATCAGCTCCCATCAAATCTTTACACACAAGAGGAGCAAGGGCATCAGTTTGGCCCACCTCTTCCACAGACAACGAGTTTTCTGCAAATTTACTTTCCTGAGCCACATCCACAACTGTATCAGCTCCTTCATCCATGCTAGTAGGGAGATCTGATTTCTCGGTCAGAACAGCTCCTTCATTCATGCTAGTAGGGAGATCTGATTTCTCGGTTGGGACACCTCCTTCATCCATGCTAGTAGGGAAATCTGATTTCTCAGTCAGAATAGCTCCTTCATCCATGCTAGTAGGGAGATCTGATTTCTCGGTCGGGACAGCTCCTTCATCTATGGAAGTAGGGAGATCTGATTTCTCGGTCAGGACAGCTCCTCCATCTATGGAAGTAGGGTGATCTGATTTCTCGGCTGGGACATCTATGGAAGTATGGAGATTTGATTTCTCGCCTGGGTTCAAACCCATTGGCTCACACAGCTCCTGAAGTGCGGTTTGTGAAAGTACAACCTCCTCAGAACTGAGAGAACTAACAGGGAGATCAGTCCCCTCATCACCCTCTTCTACTAGCCCATCATCCGCCAGACCGGAGCATTCAAGTTTACCATATACTGAACTTGAATTCTCTAATTTAGGTGCAGGATAGGACACACCTAGCTGACCAGAAAAAGTAAAATGTCCACCATTTGTGAATTCAATTTCCTCCCTCCTCTTCTTGTAAAGGGAAATGGCTTTCTGCAATAGGGACACATCATCACATTATTAGATAAGAGAAATTAGACAGCGTGGATTTATGTTTATAAAGGACAAAACTGATTCACTTAAAAATTGGGCAACTAGGTTGGGTAACTATAACCCATGAAAAATTCTGTTCTCATCTCACAAATAAAAATTGAACACAAATACTATCCCGCATTTTCTCCCTTGCTAAAAAACATCATAAAGAGCAAATATCTTCTGCACATAAATGAAATGGAGACCAAGACGGAAGTATGATTGTTTTTCTCCTAAAACAAAGGTGAAACATGATATGTGGAGCGAATAATATTAACAAGACATAACTGTAAGTAACCCCAACAAACATGTATTTCAAGAGTACATAATATAAGACACTAATCCTAGGTAACAGAAGCATAAGCAGCATAGCAACATACAAAATTATTACAAAATAATATAGTTGATAACGGTATTTCACTTCCCAACTCGAAATGCATATACATCTTGCACAAAGCACACACCTGAAAAACAGAATCAGCCACAGTAGCAATGAGTGGAACACTTGAAAATTTGCTGGGCAGCGTTACATTAGATTCTACAGCACCCTGCTAGAAGAAGAATAAATGTTAACTTCCAGTGATGAAAGATATAAATAAACAAAGAAATAACTCAGTTACCCGCTTTACCTCCAAGAACAAGATCTTTGAGTTATTAGATGTCAAGATCTGCTCAACATCCATTAAACTAGTACATTGATCAAACAACTCGGGCTCTGTCAGATCTGCCGAGATATCAAGCTTTTTGAGGTAAACATTGATAAGACTAGCTTCTTCTTTCCCCGATGACTCAACATCAATTGGTAGCTCTTCATGATTAATTTTCAAATCTTCTAGAGTGCTCCTTCCAGGAACACTGCTGGACTGAAAACTGATATCATTGCTTTCAGTATCTTGATCTGTCTTCTTTTGCTCACCCAGAGCTTGCTGAGCCAACTGAGCAGCAAAAGAATTATCTGGGCCCTGAATTGAACAGACCTCCTTCTGTGAACCAGATGGCAGCTCCACACTGGTGCCCCTTATTGGCCCTTTCCATACCTCACCAATTGTCTCCCAACTCCGACTATTGTTAGACAAAGTCCTATTCTGGTCCCAGTCTGGCCTTCCATAAAGGTGAGCGTCTTCACCAAAATTGTTAGCATCCCACCCATGCAATGGGGGACCGCATGAATCATCTAGTGGAGTTCGCCAACCCATTGGGCGCCCATGGCCAGAAAAGCGGTCTGCATCTGGCATATGGTAAGGAACCCCAGGGTGACTCAATTCCATTGAAGGCCTAACACCGAACATTGGTGGTCCGGGAAACTGCTGCATTGCGGGATGAAAACCAACAGGAGGTGGACCATGCTGGAAAGGCATGAAACCATTTGCCAGAGGTGACTGCCAATTTGGAACCCCCTTCCAAGCATTTCCTTGCATTCTTCCTATAGTAGGATCACTAATTCTTCTATGACGGTTGGTTGACTTCCCTCTACTGTCGTCGTCCAAAGAGCCAAACATTGATGGGCTGTCAACCCCAGACCTAAATGGAGGAGGGGGTGGTAAAGCAGACTTTGAACTGCCTGAAAAGTGACTCCCTCTGATAAAAGGAGAAGAATCAGAGGCATTATCTCCATCCATTTGAGATAGTTCATCACCTGCAAATGCATCACCAGCAAAGTCACGATTTCCTCTGCCTTCCTTAAATTCCCTGGAACCACCACCACTTCTCTGTGTTGAATCCTCAACATCAAGACTCCGGCGAACCTCGGATCTATTCAAGTGTCTTCGCTCATTGCTCGCTGAAGTAGGAGATCTATCCACCAACTGCATGGGAGAACTGCGAACATCTGATTTAAGCCGTCGTTCAGCTGAGTAATCTCCAAGAAAGATGTCCTCCTTCTGAATCATTTTCTCTGTTGAACGGGATGAAGAAATTCTCTCAATTGATGCACCAGAACTAGCATAATCTCGAGATGTTCCACCATGTCGAATCCTTTCTTCATAAGGATACTTGGAGTCTTCTTGTTTTGACAGCCTGGTGGGCACAGAAGGCAGAACATATCAATGTCAGATTTTGTTAAAAGTTAAAACTGATCGAGCAAACAGACAGACTGTTGGCAACAGGAAATTAATCAACATTAGCATCACCCATTAAGCAGAAAAACACAAGGTCCAACAAGACAACTAGATCTCTCGCTTGCGATCAAGAAGGTTTTATCGAGCAAAATT